AAATAATTAGTTTATAAAATAATACAAAGTAAATCTTATATATAACATCAAACAAGAGGTATGTCTAATTATAAATAGGAAGGATGGATGATGGAAAAAGTTAAATTAAAACACTGATTGGTCTATAATGGAAGATTACCTAAAATTCTTAATATTGGTTTTGAGTTCCTTAAGGAAGAGTAATATGATTTGATAACTTCTATTATATAGTCTAAACACTCGAACACATTTAAACTCTCTTGTAAACACAAGAACCAAAAGATATTCAAAAGAAAAACAGAGGGAAGAAATTGTCACAATTCATTCCCTCTCTACAGAGAGAGAAAGAAAGAGAGTGAGCGAGAACACCATATTCACCTTCGGAACCGTGTTTTGACCCGAAACCCTAACCAAAGTTAATGTGCGTCGATGGAGCTTCGTTCTCGTTGAGGACTTTCCAATCCCATAGTTTCTGGTAGATGTAATCTTTCTGATTTTCTCTTTTACTTTCTTTTTCACAATTTCAATACTTCTTTATTTTCTTTACTCTCTAGTTTGGAGGCCTTTTCGCCATAATAAATTAAAATAAAATAAAAATTTCTAAAATAAATTATTAAAAAAACTATTTACCAAACTAAATAGTTTTAGCCACGACGAATTTGAAGAGAGAAAGAAAACGTCAACTCCAGTGATGACTCCCAGAAATGCATGCACACAGGAGAGAGGATCAATGGAAGACGTCATTAAGATTGACGTTTTGAGCGCACAGAGGAAGGAAGCATCGCCATGCTTGACGACTTTCATTATCTGGAAAAGCAATGGAAAATGTCAATATGTGAGACGTTTTCCTTGCAAGCTGAAAACGTCGTATTCTCCTTTGGGCAATACTGGAGGTGCAGGTTTGCGAGCTGTGAGGATGTTTTTGAGCACATACTCAATGCCAACTTGAGCCATTTCACCTTCCATTTTGCCTGTTCTTGTCAAACCATGTTGCAAAGAATTTCTTGATGCTGCGAAGGACGATCATGTGTACTGTCACGTCTCTATAGAGAATTTTGCATCGGTGCCGCTTCTGTGGTTAACCAGAGAGAAGGAATCATGGTTCCTGAAGCGTTGCAGGGAGAGTGGTAACTCAGAGATTGCGTACCGCGAAGGAATGGTTCAATGCTTTAGTTCTTCTTCAACTGTTAAGTTGGGTCTCTAGAATTTGAAAAAGGCGATGCTACAGGGTCACCACGAGGCCAAATACGTTTACTGCATGCTTTTGATGTGTGGTGAAGACGAAGGAGAAAGGAAGGAAGGTGTGGTGAGGCCAAATACGTTTACCACATGCTTTCGAAATCACGAGTTGTCTTTTTGTTGTTTTGGCACGTGCGATGGAAGGTGAGATGGCTCAAATTGGCATTGAGTATGTGCTCAAAAACATCCTCATTGCTCGCAAACCTGCACCTCCGGTATTTCCCAAAGGAGAATAAGACGTTTTTAGCTTGGAAGGAAAACGTCTCATAGATTGACGTTTTCCATTGCTTTTCCAGATAATGAAAGTCGTCAAGCAAGGTGACACTTCCTTCCTCTGCACCCACTGCGCTCAAAACGTCAATCTTAATGACGTTTTCCGTTGATCCTCTCTCCTGTGTGCATGCATTTCTGGGAGTCGTCACCAGAGTTGACGTTTTCTTTCTCTTTTCAAATCCGTCGTGGCTAAAACTATTTTGTTTGGTAGATAGTTTTTTTTTTAATAATTTATTTTAGAAATTTTTATTTTATTTTAATTTATTATGGCAAAAAAGCCCTAGTTTGGACACAGACCTTTTCATGAACCATTTTTTTTTCTTAATTTCATTTTTCTTGTTTGTTACTTGAATCTGTTTTGGTTGTTATTTGATTTCATTTTATATAAACATCTCCTCAAAGATGTAATATTGCACACCTTCTCTTAACAAATTCAAACATTTTACACTTAAAAACTTATCTCTTAATTTACACATTTTGTAATTTTTTTAAAAATTATTATAAATTTTATTAATTAACTATATATATCTGAAAAAAATAATTTTCATTATTATCACTAGTAGGAAAAAGGCACTCCGTACTTGCATTGTATTAAAAAAATAAATAAAAAATAAAAAAAAATGAGAAGTTACTCATAAAAAATGTAGTTATTGAAAAATAAACAAAGGATAAAATGGTCCATGTAAAAATCAAAACCAAAAGTAGTTATTAAAAGTGACATCCCCTTTATATATTAGTATAGAGGTATAATATCATTAGTTTCAAGTTCCTAAATTCGATTAAAAAATATTTTTTCTAATTTTTAAAATAAAAAGGTATAATATAAGTATAGATTATAAAATATTTTTAAAGTTATATATCAAATCAAAATAATATAAGTATAATAAAATCAAATATTAAGATATTATTTAAATGATATAATTAATATAACATATTTATAAACATTTAAATAAAATAATATTTTATATAATATTA